ATAGGCCACCTGGAGGACACGACTTGGTGCTCCCCCCAATTCACAGCTCTTAAATCGCTCAGTCAAAGAGCTCGAACATTTTGTGACCTCTTTGTCGGCAGAGGCGGGAGGACATTGACGACCAAAAGCCGCGGGCTCGGCGTTTCGCGTCGTCATGTTCTCACGTGTTTCGGCAGATCGCACCCACTCTGCTGTTCCTCCCTTGGATCTCTTAGGTGTTAAATATGGCTTGTGAAAATCGGCCGCGGCCAGCACCTTCTCGGGTCTTGAGACGTAGGTTCTCTGTGTAGAGTTGCGACTTTGGGCATGTCGCAGAGCAGCCCCGGCCTGCCCTTGCAACACTTGCAGCCTCGGGATGAGGGTCAGCCGCTCGAAGCGATGCAGCCTTTCCTGCAAGCGCAGTGCACTTTTCCCGCTGGCTGGCAGTTTTCGGGGCCGTATCCACAGCCAATGCTGGCACCTGGACCTGCACCATGCATCTTCGTCCCCGCCGGGCCGCCGGCTGCGTTTGCTTTCATGGGATCTGGGTCCTGTTCCGCAGAGGCATCAATAGCAGCTGACCACCAAGCAGAGCCTGCAATGTCGGCAATGGAGACAGGATCTGCGACGCAGCAAGGGAAGGAGCGCCGCCGGAAGCAGTCTGGGAAGAGGCGCAGCCAACTGCCAACCGTTTCAGACACAGCAGCCCCCGCCAAGGCGAACCTTGCGAACCAGAAGAATCGAAACTTGCTGACTCGCGGCCCAGCCAGGGTCGAGTTTCGTGAAGGCATGCCCCCAAAAACCTGCCCAGCCGTTCTGCTTGACTGGGCAAAGCGAGACCAAGAGCTGTACTGGATTCGACACACCCCGGTTGTGAAACATGACTTCCACGACCCTGCTGACCATGCCGTGCCCTCCGACGGCAACGACACACTTGGCTACGTAGTCCTGAGGCACTTGCACAGGCACACCCAGCCCCAAGAGAAGCCTTTGGTCATCGAGAGTCGCGTTTGGCTCAGAGGCGCTTGCCGGGCACTGGATCTGCGGCGCTGGGTCTACGCTCAGATCTATTTGCAGGTGTTTGGAACTGGCCTCTTGAGAGAGAAGTGTGTGGATTCGCGTCGCAACCATCTCACCATGGAAGAGGTGCACGAAGGCACCGCGATGGAGTTTCACCTCTCGCTTTTCCTTGACACCGAGGCTGGTGAGATCCGCGAGGAGGCGATGGACGTTGACATCGGCAAGTTCTTGAAAGATCCAAGGGATCCGAAGGTGTTGAAACAGGTCTTTGCTGGTGCTTCCCTGCGGCTCCGAGGGAAAGAGCGGCATTTCACAGGCCTCGCCGAGTTGGTTTCCCGATACCTGATACAAGTTCAGAATGCCGGCACGGAGACAGCCTGGAAGAGGGCCGCAGTTACCGGCGACTTCCTGCCCGGCCAGATTTTCGAGTGTCACCTGACACAACATCTGGTGGGCCCGGGGCAGCCGGAGCTTCATGGCAAGCTGGTAACTAGGTTCACCAGCGGTACCCTTTTGCCCTTTTTAATCGGGGGTCTCCTTGCTAAAGCCGAATATATTAAGACAAAGGGTACCCATGTTATTAAGGGGGTACTGGGGAACCTAGGTAACCATGCTGCCTCCGGCGGATTGCAATGGAAGTCGCCTGCCCGGGCCGGGTATGGTCTGCGTGGCTCCGCTGGACAAAGAGAAGCGCCGCATCTGTGCTGTGTCCAGGCTAGACTTGCATCCCATCAGCTACGGCGACGATCTGCTGGATGGCAAGTACCGGTACAAGGTCCTCGTCAGGACCGACGAGACATGGGACTCTGCGACGCCCTGCCGGCTTTGCTTTCGCAGTTTCGCGGACAAGGACATCAACACCCGCAAGGTTTGGTGTGCGAAGGCTGACGGAGGAGTTCTACAAGTATATCCAAAGGATCTCCGACTGGCCGTGGATCTGAGTTCCATTGGAGATGCACGGCCGCAGGAGGACCTGGATGCGTACACGGTGGCTCCAACCTCGCTGGTCTCTGGCCCTGCGCGTGCTCCGGCTGCGGGCTAGACTCCGTACGATTTCTAGAAAGGAACAGTTACATTATAGTTACATTGTCTAGGAAGCGGCGTTTTGGTGCCGGAGTCCAGGGTCTTTGCATTCAACTGATCTGGTGGGTATCACACTCTTCCAGGCAGCATAACGCCGCCCAGCGGTTCCTTTCTTCAGCATCTTGCGGCAGCTGCTGTCACAGGAGATGCAGAACGCAAGATATTGATCTGTCTTCAGGTGTGGCCCATTCCTCTTGAGTTCTTTAGTCTGAGAAACCAAAGAAAACATTGAATCCTAAACTCATCTGTCTCTTCAGCTCGGCTTGAAAATCCAGCCCCTTAAATCTCAGCTGTTTTCTTAGCGATACTTGGGGCAGTATAGCAGATAGCCATATGGGCCAGCCTTTTCATGACCCCCTTTTTGCGGGACGCAGCGCTCTTCTCTTGCCCGGACAGGTCTCGTGCCTTGGGCAGTGCATTTCAAGCAAAAAGATCTAGCGCCTCCGATTGAAGCCTCACGAAGTCTGAATGCATGCAAGCGTTGTCTGATGAGATGGACCGGAAATCAAAAAATTCCAAACTACACAATATAATACTTGAGCTTCTTGGGCCGATTTTGCCTGGCATAGCAGCATCCATGGTCCTTCATCGAGCTCGAAGACACCACAGTCCGACTCTTTATGCTGTATATAGTAGTATGGCCAATGTGGAGTGTGCTGGAGAATGAGATATACGTTTGGACCCGTATGAAATAGATTAGGCCTTGCACGATGTGATGTCCGAATCAAGCTGAATCCATTCCGCAAGCAGAACGCTCAGGTCTGACACTCTAAGCCGTCCCGAGAGTCCGAGATATGGCCCGAGCCTAAACGACGAAAAGCCGATAAAGGCTCCTGAATTGGAGTGTCGTGTGCAGTTCCATGGCAAGTGCGCCGAAGCGTGTTGTGCTACATCATTCTTTTCGATGCGCGGAGGATGCAGTACAACGGAACACGTAGCAGTCGCTGTCGTCTATTGCTTGATACCCAACACACACTCACTCCTGAGAGGAATAGCAGGAACCGCTGGAAAACTATAGAGCAGTCAGTTATCCAGGTCCTGCCCCAGACAACAGCGTAGTAGTTGTAAAGCAGCAATACGCTTCATCGACCGCCGCAGCCCTTTGATCGCAAGAGACTGGCCCTTTCTGGGCCCTCCCCCCCGACATGGCTGCCGTGGGAAGCCAAGGCCGGGAGTCCGTTTGTCCCGTGGGGGCTGCGGCTGGTCTAAAGGTCGAGCTGGTTAGGGGCTTCAGCGCGCGATCAAAGTTTGAGACCACTTCCTACTGAAGTGCATAAGGCATAAGCACAGAGAGGATTCCGGGATGTGGGAGAATGGGAGTGCAGAACAAGAACTTGAGGAGATGACGTCGGACGGAGTCTAGTTGCCAGCATGTGTTTCATCGAAGTTCCTTGGCTTAAGGCCTTAAAAGCAGACAAGTTTACATACCCAAAACGTCTGTGGATTTACTGTGTAGGTTGAGTAACCACGAGAACCTAAACCTTGCAGCCTCCAGTGCCTCCGTTGCCCCTAAACCCTAAACCCTAAACCAGAGGCAAGCCATCTTTCTCAATTTGGTGGCCCGGTGCAACCTCGCCCGTCATTTGGCAGCTCGAGGATCGATCCGTCTGCGTCAGTCTGGGAGGATCCAAGTTTGCTTTAGGGTTCAGGGTGTAGGGTTTAGGGTTCAGGGTTTTAGGGTTCAGGGTTCTAGGGTTTAGGGTTTAGGGTGCAGGGTTCAGGGTTTAGGGGTTTCTCTCTGCTAGCTTTCAGTGTACCTGATCAGGGTTCTTCTAGGGTTCAGAACCCAGGGCTCGCAATTTTATTGGGGCTTTGAAGGCCGCAGAGACAGTTGCTAGAGTCTAAAGTCTGGCCAAAGGTGGACTTGGAAGGCCTTGAACACACTGCGATTCTTCCATCCAATCGCCGGATGCACACATCTGCGGTTCTGACCCCGAAGATTGGCAACGGCTTTGCGGCAGATTGCACGTGTTGTGTTCGTCATTTGCGGCAGTTTTCACTCTGTCACGTGGGCTCACTCCTGACCTGTGCGCCCTGATTGAGACCTCGTTTGTGCCCGTCCCTTCCCAAAAAACATACGAAAGTTCTGATCGTCCCAAAAGACGGCTCGGACTTAGCCGTTGACTCTCTGACCCTACACCTTTTAGGCTTCGTGGGAAATTGAATCGCAAAACCAGCAACAGCATGGAGGGAGGCATGGGGCGACTTACGACCCATGGTTTGTGCCAGACGGCCAATCCCCAAACGAGGAGTCTGCTCCTTCACTGAGTTGGGCGTGCTACCCTAAACCCTAAAGCCCTAAACCCTAAACACTAAACCCTAAACCCTAAAACCCTAAAGCCCTAAAACCCTAAACGGTTAAACGCTAAACCCTAAACGGTTAAACGCTAAACCCTAAACACTAAACCCTAAACCCTAAAACCCTAAGCCCTAAACCCTAAACCCTAAAACCCTAAAGCCCTAAACCCCCTAGAACCCCCATCTGCAGAGGATGATCCGGGCATCCGAAGCCTTCCCGAGATTTGGTCCGGTGCCGAGCTGCGCGAGCAACTCGCTGCAGTGCCGAGCTGCGCGAGCAACTCGCTGCAGAGCTGCAGGAGGGGTGGGTTACAAGGGTTCCTTTAAAGGGATCTATAAGGGTTTAGGGTTTTAGGGTTTTCTGGGTTTTCAGGGCTTCAGGGTTTTAGGGGATTTGGGGTTTTAGGGTTTTAGGGTTTAGGGTTTTAGGGTTTAGGGGTTTAGGGTTTTAGGGTTTAGGGGTTAGGGTTTTGGGGTTTAGGGTTTAGGGTTTTGGGTGCGATACGAGACAAGACTATACTACACTACAGTAACACTGTGCTGTACTGCACCGTCACGGTGCTTCACTACACTCTACTTTGCTCTACCCGACTCCTAATCCACTCAACTACTTTACTCTACTATGCCATAGTACTAGTTGTAACATAACGGTATGACAATAGCAAAGTCTGCTCTGCTAGAATATATTGCTCCAAGGACACCAAAACAACATGCCCACAGCAAGAGGTGATCGTGAGCTTCAAGGGATTTTGTTTAGAGTCACCATCATGGGGGTCTATTGTACATAATATGGTTTCTGAATTATGGTAACTTAAATTAAATCCCCTAACAAGAACCAAGCTACAGAGGTACCAAGCACCTGCCTTGCATTCCTTCTCCTTGGGGTTGTGGTCCGGATGCGGTCTGGCGTTTTCTCAAGGAACTTATTGATCGCGTTTAGGGTTTAGGGTTTAGGTTTTCGGGTTTAGGGGTTAGGGGTTGGGGCAAGCGTGACATGTCCGGGCGACAGGTAGCGCACGAAAGCTTGGATGCCACAGTTTCGGCCATGAGCCGTGGAGTTTGCTTCGCTTTGCAAACCCTAAACCCTAAACCCCTAAACCCTCAACCCTACACCCTAAACCCCTAAACCTTAAACCCCAAACCCTAAATCCCTGAACCCTAAGCCCTAAACCCTAGAGGACGCCCACGAAGAAGCCGTCATCGACCCGGAGTCGGTGCGCGAGATCCGCTGGCGCACAGCGACGGGGGAAGATGTGATGGTCGAGGTCTTGGCGCCAGTGAACTTCTAATATAGAAGCCTAAATTAACTATGTTACCAATACTATTTTGGGGGTTCCTGACTCTAATTATCATATACAGTTCTAATATAGAAGCCTATAAGGTTCCTTACTCTAATTGTGATATATCCTAAAACCTTATTCTATTTATTGAGGCCCCTAGAGTAGGTGGACCCAGAAAAGCTGAAGTTGAATTCGTCCAAAGCTCATGTTCAAGTCTAGGGAAAGCCTAAACCCTAAACTCGTGCCGCTGATCTTCACATCTTTTTTTCTTAGGGTTTAAGGTTCGTAGGAGTGTGTTGATAGAGGTAGACTCACAACGTCCATGACATGCGCAGGGCGCTCACGGCCCGAAGGTGCAAAAGCAAGCATAATATGGCGCTGCCAAGAATATTTTGCAAGCCGGGCACCCTTACGAGTGCAGTTCCGAGGGGACGGTTCAAGGGTGAGCAGAACTGGAAGCTTTTTGTGGCCAACACGCGCACCCTGCTTCAAGAAATTGCCGGCATGCAAGAGTTGTGTACTGTAGGTATAGGATCTGCTAGATAGCTATCTCCAGTACTCGATCTCTATTGTGTGCTATTGCTACCATGTACTAGATACTGTATGCAGTATGTTCTAGTGAGCAGCAGGCTCGTGGGATATCCTGTGAGAGCCGGGAAGGCAGAAATCCCGGTTCCTTTTTCATGGTGCACATGTGTAGCATGAAATTTAAGATGCCATGCACCAAAAGCTTTAAAGTATTGGTATATTTGTAGCAGGATGAGCACCGCCTGTCTGAAGAGGAGCTTCGGCCAGCATAGACGGGGGTTCAGCAACGGCAAAGATAGTGCTTGCCACAGTTTTAGGGTTTGGGGTTTAGGGTTTTCCCATGGCTGAGGGTTGACCCTGCAAGCTCGAAGCACCCGAAGCTTGCAGCAAAAGCAAGAAGATGTCTATCCCCGAAATCCCTTCATCCTCTAAGAATCTGCGCCCTGCAAGGAGCTCCACTTCTCTCGAGTGCACGTTCATCTGCAGTTCCAGTCAGCGGAGGATCTGCTGCAGCAATGCAAGGCAGCAATGCCGGCAATGCCGGGTGTCACTGTTGGATCCTATTCCTTCTGCCTTCTTTGTGTTGGTCTCTTCCTATTCGTGTACCCTTACAAATCAAGGCTGTTACAAATTCAAGTTACAGCAATATTGCACTTCCAAACCGTGCATCCCGGACTGTTAAGCCCTGAAGTCCAAACTAAACTTCCAGAGAGGCGATGTACCCTGCGCTCATTCCGGTGCTCGATGCCTTGACTGGGCTGGACGGGCTGTGGACAGCGTGGGCCCTAGAAAGTGTTTCGTTTGGCTGCAAGTACGCTTCTGAGTATCCGGTGTCACGGTGTTCGGGTTACTT